GGTTGTGATCATTTGACTATCTCTGCTGAAGTCTCAGAAGTTCCCTGCAGAACTCTGGGCTTCACTGGAACCGTCTTATCTGAATGGATGAGACACTTATTTAGTACCTACTGTGGGTTGGAGCCTCAGTCATGTGAGGGGGATTCAGAAACTTCACATTTGCAAGAAGAGCAGTGAAAGTTAATTTTCGACATGGTCCATCAGATTACAAAGGTTCTACATGTTCATGCATGTATCCATCCACCCGTCATCCATCCGTTCACACATCCATCCATCTGTCCATCCATCTACCCACCCGTGCATCCGTCCATCCATGCATCTGTGCATACACCCACCTGTATATCCATCTATGATGTATGCATCTACCCACCCATGCATCCGTCCATCCATGCATCTGTGCATACACCCACCTGTATATCCATCTATGATGTATGCATTTACCCACCCATGCATCTATTTGTCTGTGCATACACCCATCATCCACCATTTAATACACTGGTTCCTCATCTATCTCAGGTGCAGGTCCAGGGCCAGTTTTGGGGACTTTGATCAGGGATGCTTTGGGGGAAATAGGTAGAGGCCCTGATGTAGCCTAGGGAGGCTTGGTAGGACATCATTTCCAAGGGCTTGAACTAGGAAACAGATGGTCATCCCCAGGGGCAGAGTCTTGTGAAGAAACTTCCTACATATATCTTGTGGCTATGACAGTCCCAGTGGCTGAGCTGGTGCTGAGGAGTGACAGAAAGGTGTTGTCCTGGTCTATCCAGAGTCGTGGGCTTTCTGGGAGGCAGCAGCTACTCCTGGAAGGCTGAGCGTTCCAGAGGGAGTGGGGCAGAGTGACCTTAAGCACCCTGGAGGCTGGTGTGGAGCAGCTGCAGTGAGGGTCCACAGCCAGCAGAAGGCTAGGCAAAGCTGGGGTACATTTGTGAGAGCGGAAATGGGACCTTTCCTCTGAGGGTCAGCTTTCCGTGCAGTGGCGTCTCAGCATGGCCTGCTTCTCAGTGTCCTGGTCAACACCAGAGAAAGGCTGTCTTAGAAGACAAGACTTAAGGCTGACCCTGAATGGAGAGGATGTGTCGGTCGGTGCTGGACTAGGCCCAGAACTGTCAAACTCGATTTTCTTACTGGGGCTTTACAGAGAGGAAGACAGGAGACTCCTTCCATCCTCTCTATTACTCCGAGGGGAGACTAATACAGAATAGAAAGAATGTAGGTGATATGTCCAGCACCCCACAGGACAGCGTCACCTGAACTCATGCCCTGTCACCTCTTCACCCCAGAGGCCTGCTGGCAGACAGCCAGAGGGGGAATAACAGGAGGGCCATCAGTGATGTCCCTCTGCTTCGGGGCCTCTGAACTTGCTGCCCCTCTGCCACCTCTCTCTTTTCCCAGGCTGGGAGTGTGGCTGGGTCGCTCACCTTCCCTAATAGGTGACATCTTTGTAAGCACTCCTTTTGTGATGAACCAGTGTACAGCATCCTCACTGCATGCTACCCCGTTTCAAAGCTCTGTTTTCTGGAGGCTGGCTACTGTCTGAAAACACATTTTCTGTTTATGTATGCATTTACCCCCCACAACTTATTCCTTGGGGATGGGACCTCATTTGCAGTGTTTTCTATCTATCTATCTATCTATCTATCTATCTATCTATCTATCTATCTATCTAATTTATTTTGCACAGGGGTCAGGGACAGCAAGTAGGGGCTGGGGATGTATTTGCTAAACAAGGTCAAGTCCTCCCTTCCTCCCTTGCTCCCTTCTTTCCTCCCTCCATCCCTTCTTTCCTCCCTTTCACCCGGCTTCTCTCTGCATCTCACCCCACCCCTAGAGTAGTCCTGGAAGACCCCCTTTCCCCCCAGGACCTGTGAACTACTTCTAGGTCACTCCACTGGACAGGGAATCAGGACTCAAGCCAGTCAGTCACCACACCACGCACACATGGTGCTCTGTTTTGGGGACCAGGTGTGAGCGTTTCCTAGCTAAAAGCCATTTCCGGGGAAGCTCTTCTCCCTCAGTGGACTGCAGAGCTGAATGCGGGTATGCTGGCGGCGGCTGCAACAGCCCCATAAACACGAAATGGAAGCTCAGGAGGAGGCAGTGGTGTCCGGGTTTTCTTGATTTCTCTAGGCAGGACCTTTGGTGAGTCCTCTTTATGTGAAGTACAGTATGGCACAGTAGGGTCAGCAACTGGGACTCTCTGCCTGCCTCTTCCTTCCGAGTCTTTTGCTGCCAGGCAGCTTTCCCACTGAGGCATCTCTACTGACACTGACACTTGCTTCTCTGGGGACAGCCTCTCTCTCTCTCTCTCTCTCTCTCTCTCTCTCTCTCTCTCTCTCTC